TGGGTTGAAGACCTAGACCGAATAAGAGCCGAAGGCTTAAGACTGAAGGTCGAAGACCCAAAATTCATGGTCTAATACCAATATGACCGTGGCCAAAGGCCAAACGCATGATCGAAGACCATATGATCGTAGATGAAGGCTAAACTAATGATGAAATCTCAAGTTGAATGAATTTTTGCAAAGAAACATTTTGCCTTTACAAACTCTAAATGATATGTGTTTGCAGAGAAAAAATGAGGCAATGTGGGAGCCAAACATGACTCCTCCACTAAATAAGCCACTAGCACACCAAACATGAGGAGTGGAGTTACAATCAAGTAACATAATACCCACTCCATGGAACATGGAGAAATAGAAGGAAAGTGGGAATTGGAGCCCAAGACATGAATGCCTATAAAAGGCCAAAAATCCCACCAGCCTAGGGGGAAAGAGGGAGGTATCTGATAGCTTTACAATGTCTTGCAATTATTTCGAACAACGACTGACTTGAGCGTCGAAGTGTTTTTTTTGCAGGTCCCCCCGCTCTTATTGTTGACAAGCGAAGATGGTGTCCAAGGCTTCTCAATGTGTTCAAGATTACTTGTTGGTGGAGAATTGGAGTATCCGAAATTTTCCTCTCCAATAGACTCTAATATTTTTTGATTAAAATGTTCAAAAAATTAAATTATGATGGTCCACATAATTTTTTTTAAGTTACTTTAAGAAGAAAAAAAAATTATCCTAAATTCATTCTTTGATAATCTCGGGCTAAAAATTTAACTCATAAGGGTTGGGGGAGAAAAACTATTTGTAGGTTAAAACCTAAATTTGTGTGGTTAAAAATTTTAGGTTTTAATCCAAAGGTTGGAGATGTTCTAACACATTAAAGATTTTTAGCCATTTTTTCAAGAAATAGAAATATAGTTGTTGATATGAAGTTTGTGGGAGCGTTATAGCTATGCAGGATATATGATTGCTTTAAGGCACGTAGTATCTAAGTCAAACCTCAAACACACCAAGAAATGAACAAGGTGACTCAAGTAAAGCTCATAAATTTGTTCTTAGTTATTTGTTTTTGTATGGAAATGTGAAGGAAATAGGAGAGCCTTTGTGTAAAACAACTATCTATGATCTGTTTGAATGAAGTGGTTATTTCTTGCGGGAATTCCTTCTCTATTATAAAGGATTAAGTGTCCTTTTTCTACTTGATAATTATAATTCAAATGCTTCGAAAATGTTTGTCAAGTATTATGTTTGTCAAGTTATTTCAATGTAACGTATTCCATATCAAACCTTCGAGGTAAAATGACACTATCATATCACCGAAAGGTATGAAAATTTCAAGTTCAAATCACAGTCCGACCGATCTTTGATCTAGCTCCGACCGGTAGTAATTTTCCCGAAAGCACCAAGGGTGAGTTTTTGGTCTAGTCAAGCGATCACTACATTGTTCTAAACATTTGCCCTGTATGGAACCTAAATCTTTGAGTTTCTACTAAATTTTGAATGCTCACCATATCAGTGTCGACCAATCAAACCCTTTTATTTTGATTTTTTTTTAAATAGTCACCTGATGCCACCTGAGTAGTGCTCCAACCCCCTTCAAGCGATCAAAATTGTGTCTATAACATGTAGCCCTATGGAGTTTCTGCTAAATTTTGACTGCTCACCATATCGGAGTCAATAAACCAAATCCCTTTACTTTAAAAAAAAAGTCACTCGATGCCACCTTGAGTAGTGCTTGATGAGTCCATATTATACTATATATTTTACTCTAATCTTAGTATTAATTTATTAGTTATTTTAGTAGAATTTTGATACTTTTTTATATATTTTCAATATAGCACATTCGACTTCTAGAGCAAAAAGTATTCAAACAGATGAATTTTGTAGTGATTCCAATTGGAGGATGTTTGCGAGTCTTTCAAGATATTTATATCAAATTTTCATATTTTTCTACCAAGTCGTTTGACCGTAGAAAAGAAATGAAGACCCAGCGTGCAGCTTTCCTAGATTGATGTTTCAGGACGTTTTGGGTATTTTGAAAGTCAAGATGGCATATTTTAAGGAAAATTCCTTCTGAGGATTTGTAGGGGACATCTTCAGCTTTCAAAAGAGACCTTTTGGGATGAAATCAGAGTTGATTTGGTCAGTCAAAAGTGTGATTTTCTGAGAACTCCGAATTCTAGTTCAAATAAGAAACCTTTTATTTTCTGTTTTATCATTTAATTATATTTCCTAGTTTTCTTCTAAGACCTTTTACTAGGAGGATTTTAATTAGAGTAGTATATGTGACATCCCACATCGCCCATGGGAGTGATCCTTAAATATATATTCTCATCCCTACCTAGCACGAGGCCTTTTGGGAGCTCACTGGCTTCGGGTTCCATGGGAACTCCGAAGTTAAGCGAGTAGCGCGCGAGAGCATTCCCAGGATGGGTGACCCATCGGGAAGTTCTCGTGTGAGTTCCCAAAAACAAAACCGTGAGGGAATGGTAAGTCCAAAGCGGACAATGTCGTGCTACGGTGGTGGAGCGGACCCGGGAAGTGATCCGCCCAGGGTCGGGATGTGACAAGTTTGGTATCAGAGCCTAACCCTAGTCGTGATGTGCTGACGAGGACGTCGGGCCCCTAAGGGGGGTGGATTGTGACATCCCACATCGCCCATGGGAGTGATCCTTAAATGTATATTCTCATCCCTACCTAGCACGAGGCCTTGTGGGAGCTCACTGGCTTCGGGTTCCGTGGGAACTCCGAAGTTAAGCGAGTAGCGCGCGAGAGCATTCCCAGGATGGGTGACCCATCGGGAAGTTCTCGTGTGAGTTCCCAAAAACAAAACCGTGAGGGAATGGTAAGCCCAAAGCGGACAATATCGTGCTACAGTGGTGGAGCGGGCCCGGAAAGTGATCCGCCCCGGGTCGGGATGTGACAGTATAAATAAGGCTTGTTAGCCATTAGGGTACGTTACACAACTTTTTTTTTTTTTTTTGGGGGGGGGGGGGTGGTGATGGGTGGGGAGGGGTGTGAGGGGTGAGGTGGTGGGGGAACGTACGTGGAGAATTTAGCTAGGCTTTGACGCTTTGTATTTTGAAGGTGTTTTCTATCTTTTTCAATAAATTTCTTTTGTTTTATGGTTGCTAGTAGCAAACTTTCGTTTGCTAGGGCAATACCTTGAGCCTTAGCATGAATATGTAGTTTTTATTTAATTGCTTATGATATTATGTATGCATGCTTTGAATTATTAATAACTGCGCTTTAAACTGCCTCTATATCTTAATGCTTAACTACCATTGTGATGTTTAGATAAGTAATCGGATGCAATTCGGTCGGAATACCACCAAGGGATTGAGTATTGCTTCTTGTGGTTGATAGTTGTAATTTCACCTAGGGTGAATACCACGTCTTAGGGGTTGTATGGTTTTTCAAAGGCTTTTTCACAAAGCGTAATGAGTCATGCATGTTTATATTTGATCTGAATACCACAGACGGATTGCATGTTTGATATACGTTCTGGCTTGAATACCACGAGTAGAATATGCATTAGGAAAACATAGCCTTCAAAGTTGCATGGGTAATTCATAAGTAATTGATAAATCTACATAGGATTGTTAAGGGGACGGCGGAACCCTAGGCTTTTACAATTTTGGTTTTCAAAACTATTTCCTTTTGTTTTCTTTACTTTGTCAAGTTAATTATTTGTTTTAATTTAAAATTCATTTTTAATATTCTAGGTCATAAAATCAACTTTTTCCAATCTTTATTTTTAAATAATTAATTAAGATTTGGTATTTACATAAATTATTCATTCAATCCCTACGGAAAACAACCTTGCTCGAGCCGTTTATACTATAACTACCTTGTTCTCTTGCAAATATTTTTAAGTATTTTTATCCCTACTTTTGTAGGTGGTAAAAATCCCTATCAATGCTCGAACCCCTTCAAGCGATCAAAATTTTGTCTATAAGATGTAGCCCTGTCGAGGTTCTACTAAATTTTGACTGCTCACCATATCAATGTCGATAAACCAAACCCCTTTATTTTGAAAACTTTTCAAAATAGTCACTCGTTGCCACCTTGAGTTCTTTTCAAAATTGGCGCTTGATGCCGCCTTGAGTAGTGCTCGAACCCCTTCAAGCGATCAAAATTTTGTCTATAAGTTGTAGCCCTATTGAGGTTCTACTAAATTTTGACTGCTCACCATATCGATGCCGATAAACCAAACCCCTTTATGTTGAAAACTTTTCAAAATAGTCACTCATTACCACCTTGAGTTCTTTTCAAAATTGTAACTCGATGCCGCCTTGAGTAGTGCTCAAAACCCCTTCAAGCGATCAAAATTGTGTCTATAAGTTGTAGCCCTGTTGAGGTTCTGCTAAATTTTATTTGTTCACAATATCTGTGTCAATAAACCAAACCCCTTTATTTTGAAAACTTTTCAAAATAGTCACTCATTACCACCTTGAGTTCTTTTCAAAATTGTCACTCGATGCAGCCTTGAGTAGTGCTCAAAACGCTTTCAAGCAATCAAAATTGTGTCTATAAGTTGTAGCCCTGTTGAGGTTCTGCTAAATTTTATTTGTTCACAATATCTGTGTTGATAAACCAAACCCCTTTATTTTGAAGACTTTTCAAAGTAGTCACTCAATGCCACTTTGAGTAGTGCTCGAATCCCCTTCAAGTCATCAAAATTGTGTCTATAAGCTGAAGCCCTGTCTACATTTAAAGACTTCCCTAAAAATGTGTCATTGCTTACATTATGCAAGGGATATGGTGGTGCCCAGCCCACGAATCAACTATTAAGAACCCAAATTGCTTTCTTTCTGGAAGCGCTTCTTGACTGAGCACTAAAAAGTGATTTTAACAAAAGCACTAAAAAAATCAACATTTATCCTTAAAACACACTTTTGTTAAAGGTATTCCCAAGCATTCCCTTTGCCGTGACCCATAAGTGAACTTGAGGGGAGAAGCTCTGCTATCACTGGCTTTCATGGCGGGATGTCGTTCACCAGAAGGCTTCGACAGAGATTCAAAATTATAGGATTAAATATTGTTCAATTGGAGAAGTCGAGACCAAACTGAAATATCAAGGAAACTACAATTGCGAATAAATACTGTATCCTGGATTCGAAATATGAAAACTCTCTAACATCACAGCTCATTTTTCTCTTTTGGACTGGGTTCCGCTGGTTGAATCATGTTTCTTGTATCTTTGGCTAAATTGCTGACTTGGTGGCCACCTACAATACAAAGAAACCAAAGGAGCCATTGAATACAAGGTTGTGGGCTTATGTTTCCTCATCGATCTCTCGGTGTCAAACACCCCGTTGGATATGCATGCAACCATAATGGAGTTAGAAGATTACCTGCCGGTGTCAATGTTCGATCAGCAAAACCTGCGGCTTGACTAGAATTCCCAGGAATAGATAACCTCCCACGGTATTCTCGCAACAATGCGTTGTTACTTGCTGTACCGGTTTCAACCTCTCCACTAGGCATGCGACTTTCACTGCCTGGCCTCGCATTAGGTTTTAGTGAGTAGGTTGTTGACCAAGATCCTCCATTTGATCCAGCTAAAGCCATTATAACATCTGCCTGAAAAGTACCAAGTCACAACAATGTCACATGATGATAAACTGCGAAAGGGAATATGATATTCGAATACTATGTTGCTGATAGAAAAGATCGGTGAAGAAAAGGGAATTATCATTTTTTCAGACATCAATGACAAAGAAACATTCATAGTTTTCAATTCAATTCTACAAGAACAGACTCAATTCCTTACTCCAAGCTAAAATGTAAGGCACTTGTGTAAGCATATGCAGATATGTAAGGCATTTTAATCTGCTTTTATAAATATAAATGGAGAGGTCCGCAGGGCCATTTATGGGTAACATATGAAAGAAAATCGCAGTAAGCTACAGGATGGAGACTAGACTTAAGTTTAGATTTGTTATTAATATTTAGGGAGTTCTTAGGGTTATTAATATTTAGATTTGTCCTATACATATGAATGACCAAACGATCGCCAATTTGATTGAATTTTTACATATAAGATCTTTAAATGAAGATTAAGAAAACGACTGATTCCAATTATGAGATTCACATGGCTAAAATACATACAATTACAATTGGATGGACAATCAGATGCACCAATGGGGTGGACGACGCAAGCATTGTCCTTTTTTACAAGACTCTCATTTAAGGCATTTGCTGATTAGTTGAAATTACAAAGTTTACCCCCCTACTCCCTCCCTCCCTCCCTCCCTCTCCACCCACCACACCCCACTCCCCACCCCCCCAAACCCCCCCCCCCCCCCCACACACACCCCATCCATGGCCTATGTGACATAAACGAGTGTATGAGAGACTTTAGCCTAAGTAGATGGGCCTATGTGACATAAACGAGTGTATGAGAGACTTTAGCCTAAGTAAAATCACAAAAGAACAATCACCCTTCCCTACACCATCCACGGCCTATGTGACATAAACGAGTGTATGAGAGACTTTAGCCTAAGTAAAATCACATAAGAACAATCACAAAGCTTAGGTGTACAAGTCTTCAGTCAAACCAAACATAGAACACTCCCTCCCTTGTCTGTCTCTTTCTTAATTAGGAACTCAAATCTCACATATGAATCACTACAAAAGACAATAAAAGGGCCAATACTAACATATTACAACGTAAAACTGAAAGCAAATATGACGTCATAACTGATCGGCATGGAAAACCACTGCTGCATATTTCATGTGAAAAATACCAATGGCTACTCCATACCACCTGAATGAGAAACAGCAACCGAAGAACCTCCCCACACAAAATGAAAATGATGTACAAGTGAACTTCCTCACATCAATCATGAAGAGCACTATAGGATGATATACTTTTTCTTTGTTACACCCATCTACATTGTAATTTCCACCAATTCAGTATAATAACAAAGAATCTAAGACCATGTAACATTTTTATTGCTAACAATGATTGTTTGACTTTTGAAAGCACTCAAAATGAGGATCACTGATCCAACCAAAGTCGTAGAATTAATGGAAGTGGTAAACCTGACTACAATGACAGGTGAAACCAGCACCAATGAGGAAGAAATAGTCACAACAACTCCGGTTCAGGGGCAAAGAGCAGATAAAAACTAAATAGGTCAGGAATGCAGTAGTATACTATAAAGTCAAGTGTGACCATAATGAACAAGAAAGTGTAACTCCAAACTGCCGCATACCAAGAGAAAACAAATTCAAGTCTTGTACAGCCTTGATAAATATCTTCATACCCAATTTCAGGGACTTCTTGTCATTAACTCGTCACCTCCCACAATCAGGGACTGACGGAGAAAGCAACTTCCGCACAATCTTCAAACAGTACCGTGCTAATCCTAGCTAGGCATATTCTCAAAAACTAAAATCGACTCTTTTATAATGACTCCACATAGACATCTCAAAGGTCAAGCTTATAATAATATCAAGAAACTTTTATGACTAGAAAATAATTCACGAAGCCATAACCACATTCTCTAGAACGCTTTCGCTATACCTACGTTAAGATCAGATCACACTTGTCCTGCAATTTACAGGCAACACCAATTTTACTCATCTGTATGCAATGACTACATGAGTTAGCCAATGTTGATATCCATAATATATATATTCTTTAAAGAGACTGTCCACATATGTTTGCTATAATAGGAAATATAAACTCATAAATCAAGGAAGACCGCTCTACAACAATCAAACAGTAAGAAAAAAACCTTGTTTGGATGGACATCGTCAAAAACATGAGCTTGACCACCATAAAATATGGTCATCTGCCGACCAGCTGATGTAAATCCATGTTGACTGCCACAACAGAAAAAAAAATAAGATAAGGCATCAAGTTTCCTCTTACTTGAAAGAAGAGCAAAAAACAGTAACAGACATGTACTATATCTTGTACCTTGGATTAGAAGGTTCTGACTCTACAATATGAGTCCCAGATTTCTGCCTGCTGCCACTTGGCAGCACCCCAGACGAGTTTCTTTCTGGAGCATCACTACCAGCATTAATAGAACTCAAAATTCCTGGGCCTTTAATTCCAGTTCTGGATCCCTCATCTGCTGCTGATTGAGAAATATTGTTTGGAATGGCATTGGCATCCCTAAATCGGTTTGAAGGTAATTGATGCACCATGGGTACAAAATGACCGCCTCGTGGAGGGTACTGTACTGCAGCACCCATATTCATGGGAGCAAGTCGTTCCCATTTGGTATCAACTCTACCAAGTGGAGACTGAAAAATGAGAGAAGCAGAAGTTGGCCTCAGTGGCTGTGTAGCAAAGACTGCTTCATCGTCATTGGACCTTCGAGGTCGCTCTCCCCCAGGTCCATGTCGAAGCATCTGATTTCAGGACAACTAAAATGCATCAGATTAAAAAAACATAGGGTGGGGCTTTTGTCTTATGCAAGAATAGGATATCAGTATCGTATCATGTCGCACTCACACCTTCATCAAATGCGACCTCTCAAGGTGATCAGGACCCATATGAGGGACACCATCTCTGGATGAACCCATAAAAGTCGAGTCTGAATTACTCCGCTTACTTCCTAGTAACCTGTTACTTATCTCAGGCACAGAAATATCACTCCTCGGGCCATAGAATGGAACCCCCTCAAGATGATTTCCAGCCTGTCTTTCTACCAAATTTAATGAGACAATAATCAAACTCATATCTAATCCTGATAACAAAGGACACACTGTATGCGTGTTGAATTTTCAGTAATACAATCATAACAGATAACCAAGATTAGTAGTTAATGTGCATTCACCAAAGTCACAGACAAAAAGGCCAATAATATAACATAAACATCAACACAAAGTCATAAACAAATGCTCAAAGTCTCACTTTATAATGACAACTTTTGACAAACACTCTCAACTTTTTGCACTACCCAATCGTTAACAGCATCAAAAATGGAAAAAGATCCCGCCACATTATAAATGACAACAAATACACAAACCATTTTAGCATCATATTTCTCAAGCCTAATTCCAAATGCTCCGATAATACACAAATTAAGAGAGCCAACAAAGCAAGTGAAAAGCTTGCCCTCAATTCAACCTATCCATAAAAATGAACAATTTAACAAATCAAATGCACAGAGGAAAAAGAGAAAGACTACAACAGCTACCAAACTCCTTCGCTAACTAATCCATAACATAGAAAAGTATAAAAATACACAACTCCTTACCAACATCACTAACTGCATCAAAAACTGAAAAAGATAAATCCACTCACATAACATAGAGAGTATAATCCCACTCCCATCTTTTTCATTTGCATTTACACAAGCAATCCAAAACAACAATAAAATAAAAAAACAACCCCTCTACAAAAAAATAGTAAAGATATGAACTTTTTCAAGCTGATTACAAAATTATATAAAAGCACTTATCTTTAATAGAAAATGATGGGTTTTTGTTATGAACTCAGCTAAAATCATAGGTAGTAAAAAACAGCATAAATGGGGAGGAACTCACCGGAACCCAGATCAGAGGTGGTGGAGATGGGGCCACGGCCACCGCCGGAGGAAGCCCCAAGGGAAGCGGAGGCGGAGGGAGAAGGCTCAGAGAGCCTACAATCGGTGGAGGCTTTTGGGGCTAAAACCACAGGGGAATCTCCAGGCTTCATGCCCAGAAAATCATGGAAGATGGTGTGCTTCCCCTGCTGCTGCTCCTCTAGCTTCTGCTTCTGCGGCTGCTGCTTTTGCTGTTGGCTGCTGAGAGTTGTGGCATTGCTGTTGGGGATGCCTTGCTGGGCCATTTTCAGAACAGCCATTCCATCTCCATCCCCATTCCACCACTCTGCATAGCTGCCGCTTATCTGCTAGCAAGAGAGAGACGGTGTTTTTGTGAAAAGAGAAGAAAAAGAGAGCTCGATTTTCAGAAAAGGAAAAAGAACGAGGACTTGAAAAGAGAAAGAGAGAATCTTTGGGGCTCTTTTACGAGCAGAGACCGAGAGAGAGAGAGAGAGAGAGAGAGAGAGAGAGAGAGAGAGCAAATAAAAGCGGAGGTTCTTGGGCAAGTGTTGTGACTTGTGCTTGAGTTTCTCTTTCTCCCTGTAGATTGAATGGGTGTGTCTCTGAGTGTGGGCGTTGGGTTGTTTGGTTATGTGGGGGAATATATGTTGGGGTTGGAAGGTGTGTTTTTTTCTGGCAATTATTTGATATTTCTGTTGTGTTATTGCATAGGGAGAGGAAAAGAAAGAAGCAATCGAGAGCTCAGATAGAGTGTGATGATGGGTTTTCTGTCTCTTTGTGTATGCACTAACGTGGCTCGCTCCCACTGCCTACCTTTTCATGGCCACTTAATGAAGCATCCTTTTGTTTTTGTATTTTTTCGTTTTTCATAAATGTTATTTGCATTTAAAAAAACATATCTTCTTCAACAAAAGCCCATATCTTCTCTGAGGTTTCGAAAGTACATGTTTTCATAGTACAATTTTCATGTCATGGCATCATGGCATGTCTCCGTGTTTTTGCATCAAAGTTTGAATTTTTTCTCAATAAATAGAGTAAAAAATAAAGATTCAGTATATATTATCTAATTGAAAAAGTGAGTAAAAAATCGATTATAGTTTAATAAAATTATCAAAAACATTAAATCATTTGCAAGTAATTACAAATATCTAGCATTTACCTTCAAAAGTTGTATCAATATAGGTATATGAGTTGTCCTTAGGGCAGTCTAAAGTTGACAATGATTAAGATGTATATGGGATTTGTTTGGTTGTAACCTTGCACGTTCCTTCACTTGTTAAGTTGTTATCAATTTTTTGTTTCTACCCATTGAAAGAAGAAAATATGATGAATACTAGGTTTTAGCTCTTGAAAAAAAGAGTGAAACTCAGTCCTTAAACACTTAATACAAACCAACTGCAGCCATAAAATGGTTTGACATTAGGGGTGTTTTTTGAAAGGATCAGATTGGAAACGACGTTTCCAATTTCAATTCCAAAAGTTTGAAATTGGATCGGATCAAATCACAATTTTTAAATTGGAAATTTTTGGCATATTTAAAAATTTTGGAATCTAATTAATCTCAAAAATTCGGAAACTCATATATTTTATAAGTTTTTTAATATTCTATAACTTTTTTGTACACAGAGTTTATTGTTCTTTCTTATGTACAAATTCAATTAATTTAATATGCTTATTTTTTTAATATATAAGTGTATGTTTAATATAAAAACAATGAACAAAATACATCCAAAACTAACAATAATATACAAAAGTTGATTACAAAATATATAATTTGAGTAAATAACTATAAAAATCAAAAGTTTTCAAAAGTTTTTTTTTTATCGGAATAAGTTTGGAACACTTCGAAACAAATTGGTTTAGAATTCATAATTCTCTAAATCTTTAAATACATTCTAATTTCTGTTCTTTTTTTTTTTTTCTTTCTAATTTCTGTTCTTTTTATAATAATAAAAATATTCGAATTCAGAATTTTTGACTTTGGAATCGAAAATAGCATTCCAACTTGCAGCCCTATTTGGCATGCATAAATTCACACCATGTTGTCCATTATATCACACATGAAATCAAATCAAACGATAAAACCACTCAGATATGTGATGATACCGAACAAAATCAAATCAAATGATAAAACCACTCAGATATGTGATGATACCGAACAAGACAAGATTATTCATTAAAAATGTGAAATACTTTGGTTTAGGTTCGAATGCACCTCCTTCTTCAGTAGTTAATTAGTTTTTATCGTACGTACATGTAACAATCAACACCATTTCTTTTATAATCACCATATGAAGTGCATACCTAACAAAAAGTTCAGTGCATATTATCTAATTATAAAATAGTGAGTATGAAATCGGTTATAGCTTCAAACAAAAATATAAAATAAAAAAAAATTAACAAACATTATCTACACTAAAGGGAGGAGGTGGGTTTAGCCTCACAACAGGTTAGCCATAATGTGGTTCAAATTCGTTTTTGACGAGAAAAGAATTTCAAACCTTTCACTTACAAATGAAAAGGAATATCATTAAACCGTAGTATTAAATGACACATATCTAAACAATTTGCTGGTAATTCCACATATACCTTCAAAAGTTGTATCAACACAGGCATATGAGTTGTCCTTATGGCAATCTAAAGTTTGCAATGATTAAGATGTGTTTGGTTCTAACCTTGTACATTCCTTCACGTGTTATCAATTTTTGTTTCTACCCATTGGAAGAAGAAAAGTTGATGAATACTAGGTTTTAGCTTCTTGGAAAGATGATAGAAACTATAATCCTAAAACACTTAATGATACATTCCGACCGAAATCAAGGCATGTTGATCGTCACGTGAGAGCGACATATCCATGTGCAAGCGTAAGTGTGAAAAACAATATTCAAAGCACAGAAAACCTAGTGCAGTCCAGAGGAACACATACTAACTAAACACACCTAGAGGGGGTCCTACACTGGTGATAATCTATCGGAGAGGACCATTCAGACTTTGGAGGATATGTTGAGATCTTCGGTGTTGTAGTTTGGCGATGCTTGGCACAAGCGGTTGGATTTAATGGAGTTTGCCTACAACAACAGTTTTCAGAGCAATCCCATGATGGGTAACCCACTGGGAAGTTCTCGTGTGAGTTCCCAGAAACAAAACCGTGAGGGCGTGGTCGGAGCCCAAAACGGACAATATCGTGTTACGGTGGTGGAGTGGGCCCGGAATGTGGTGGACCCCGGACGGGATGTGACACTTAACACAAACCAATTGCAGCCATAAAATTGTTTGACGTTAGGGGTTTGTTTTTTTTGGAAAGGATCGAATTGGAAACAATATTTTCGATTTATGTACCAAAATTTTGGCATCGGGTTGGATCAAATCGCAATTTTTAAATTCGAAATTTTCCGGCATATTCAAAAATTTCGGAATCGGAATAATCTTGGAAATTTTGAATTAGAATTTGAAAACTCATATATTTTACAAGTTTTTTAATATTCTCAAGCTTTTTCGTATATGAAATTTATTGTTTTTTCTTAATATTTGGTATATGCTTATGTATAAATTCAAGTAAATTTTGTAGTATAATAGTATGCTTATCTTTTTTTAATATATAAGTGTATGTTTAATATAAAAAACAATGAAGAAAATGTATTTGAAACTTGCAATAAAATACAAAAGTTGATTACAAAATATATAATTGGAGTAAATAATTATAAAATCGAAATATTTCAAAAGATCAGAATAAGTTCGAAACACTTCAAAAAAATTTGGGTCAGAAATTTAGAATTCTTGAAATCTCTAAAGGCATTATAATTCTCGTCCAAAATTTTCAAAAAATATTCGAAATCATAATTTTTGAGTTTGGAATCGGAAAAACCATTCCAACTTGCAACTTTATTTGGCATGCATATAATTCACATACATGTTGTGCTCACACATGAAATCAAGTCAAATGATAAAACCACTCAGATATGTGATGCTACAAAACAAGACAATAATATTCATTAAAATGTGAAATACTTAGGTTTTGATTCGAAGGCACTCCTTATTCACCTATTTGTAGTTAACTAATTAATACAGTACACATGTAACAATCAAAACCATTTATTTTATAATCACCATATGACAATCATACCTACAGAAAAAAATCAAATCGAAGGTGGTTTTGTTGTCCATATCAAAATAAATGAACAATCATCAATATGATATTTTTTTTTTTAACTACATACGATAGTATTTACACAGTGAGAGCGAGAGAGTAGGTTAAACTTCACGATGAACTAGTTATAATAATTTGGTTCAAATTCGTCTTTGGCGAGAATCAAATATAAGACATCTCATTTATAAGTGAAGAGAAATACTACTAAACCGTAATACTAAGTGACATAATAATTAAACGATATCTAATTTGTTTAATTTTTTACAATTATAATTTTTAAATTGCAATAAACAAAATAAATGATCCCGATAATTGTGTAACATAACAATTTATAGATTACAACTGAATGAATAAAGAGATTCGCATTGAAGTGCACCTAAGTACATATTATTGGTTAAAAAACAATGCATGTCTCAATAATATTATGATATGAAGTATAATCTTTATGTGTAATTAAAATTTAAAAAAAAAAACATCAAAACTCACTTTTGCTGCCTAAAATATATTTGAGGTTGATATAATTATTATTTTTTTGTGAACTTGATATCATTATTTAATCAAAACACAAAGAAATGAAAGGAGTCAAGAGTGGGAGAGAGAAGGGAATTGATTTGGTGGTGGAAGCCAAAGGTGACGAGTGGAGTGGGGGAAGAATATTGAAGCACAGGTTCTCTCTCTCCGTCTCTTTCTCTCTCAATTAATATTGCTGACTGTAAGCAAATCACCATCGAACCAAAGCCCAATGCCGTCGTTTTCCGACTTCGAGCATCGTGTCGGACGCTCCACCCCAATTCACTCAAAAGATTCATCATTCAAAATATCTCCGATGAAATTTTACAACAATCCGGTGTATAAGATGCATTAATGCATTAAACGGTTACTTATTTATCATTCTTTCTTCGTCTCTCTCAGTTGTTTGTGATGGCAACAGCCTAACAATTCCTCTTTTTCTTCACTCTTATTTGTCTTGAATGGAGGAATGGTGACTGAGTTGACACAAAGATTCGCTCGTTGGCCTTGATGCTGCTATAGACTATCGTATACATGACAGACGCCGTTTACAAGCTATGTTGAGAAGAAATACAACTGTGGCCTTGATGCTGCTATAGACTATCATATACATGATAGACGCCGTTTACAAACCGTGTCAAGAAGAAATACAACTGTCTTTATAAAAATTAAGTAAGAAATTATTATTGACACTTTAAAATAGTTATTATATTACCCGTTTCTCTTTATCGTTATAATGAAAACAGGTACTAATAGGAATATTATCATTGCAAATACTAATTTAGCGGAAAGCGTTTAGGCTAAATTGTAACAAAAGGCCCTGATCTATGCCACAAGTTTAGTTTTCATTTTTTAACTCTACAAATAGTTTCTATCATCTTCGAATCATGTCATTTGTTGCGTTAATATTCCTTTTTGTTAACTCCGTTAACTTTCTGTTAAGTTGAGGGATTGATTTTTTCAAAGAGAAATATTTAGTCCGTCAAGGATTAACGTGGAACTTCTCCTTAAATATCTTGTGACTTATACACAGAACTTCGTACTTATGATCGCAATTTCTTAAGAATGACTAAACGATCTTAGTTTTAATTGAATTTTTGCAAAGATGATATGTAAATAGTAATATGAATGGTTTTGATCATAAGTACAAAATTCTATAAATAAGCCATACAGTGTTTTGAGTAGTAACTCCTTAAATTTGACGAAAAAGAAGGCATATTATACGAAGTGACCATTCATGCAACGCAGAGCTCAGTTGGAGAATAGGAGAAATTAATATAGGGACAAAAACTAAACATGATGTAAAGTTCAAGAATCTTTGCTACCACGCACCAAAAACGAATTCACTTATCCCACTCCATCCATCTAATCTCAAAAGTTAAATTTAACGGAACTTAATATGACAATGATATCAAACACCAATTTCTGTGATGAGCAAATAGTTATCTCATAATGGGAAAGAACATGTGTTTCGCTTAAAGCAAATACTAAGCAAAGAGAAAGGCAATGAAAAACTTTAGAAATATGCATACGTTGGTGATGCCATTATGAGGTATTTTAAGCAGTCGCACATTGTGACGGTAAATACAGTCACATTGACATTCTTGTTGTAATGTAGGTCCGTCTTTTTTCCTTAGGTAAGGGTAGATCCTGGGGTTGGTTGAGGGCAAATCGCTTGACAATCCACGTGAGATTGGATCTCTTCAGACGTGTCTGTGAATTTGGTCCTCATATATACATATATCCGATCCAATTGTCCATACAAGGGTCTCTTCAAGCATGATTGAGTAGCACGATCAAAATAAGTGCAAAATCACTGTGAAATCCATCCAAATTGACGGAAACTTCCACAAGCATGAGACTTTTTCTAACATCTAGTACTACAAATTGTACAAATCCACTAAACACCAAACGTATCAAATGATGACAATGCTCTGACCAGCACAAATTACTAAAACAAAAGGGTTTTAATCACAAATGGTCCATAAAATTGACTCATTCCATTAAGATGGTCCATAAAATTGAAAATCGATCAAAGTAATCCTTAAAAATAGGTATCACAAATTAATGTGATCATTCTTACATAATTTAGTTTGTATGGGTAGCGAACCTATATTCAAACCACTTTGACTTCATAACAGATGCCCATTAGGATCCAGAATGCTGCACATCTAAAGTACTGTGAGAAGTTTTATCTTAATATCCTCCATTAACTGGTTTGCTCTTGAAGCAAGATTTTTAGGCGAACTGTAGACTTTCTCCTTGCACGAGATGTGTCTTAATCTCTGACGTATGTATCCGGCAAGTTTGTTGAATGAGGAACAGAGGACATCATTTTGCAAAGCTTCCGCGCCATTTCTTTCATTCCTTGGAATGTGAGATACTGAGGAACTAAACCCCTTCGTATCATGTCCTCACACTCTTCAAAAGCCTCTTTGAATTTATGCAAATTGCAAAGCTAACGAATCGACATGGAGCTTGTAGCTAAATCCATATCCCATCCCCTAGACGACCCCATTCATTCTTTGGAAAGTAAGACACTATTATTCATACTTTTTGAAATACTGACATGTTCACTCAAAATCGTAGAATAAGCTTATTTCTAATAAGTAAACGAGTCATAATTTCAGATCATGCTAGCTACTCTTTATCTTCATGGTCATTTCTCCTGTACTAAAACTTTAGCTGTGCGTATACCTTCTAAGGGCAACTTTTTTTTTTTTTTTCAATTTCTAAGGATCTTATATACATTGTAAAGGTCGTTTGCTTCAGAGATTCTCAGATAAAGTTCATCTTTTTCTAAGGATGGTACTATTCACACACCATTTTTTACCTTTCATGTACCCTTCTCAATTTTCAAACGTCAAATTGAATGAATTGAAGAAAATCAATGAACAAACTATTAAATGCCCAACCTAGATTGTTTCCACCGTTAGTTCGTCCATCAAGTATAAAGATAAAAAAGGACAGAAGAATTAACCTAGTAGACGGATTGGACCAAAATGAAAATAAAATTGCAACTACACTGGTGTAAATGCAAAAAAAAGAAACTCTATGGAGGAAAGTGGTAAACCCGGATAAACTTTTCGAAAACTATTTTTCCCCAATTTAAAACGAACGATATGAAAAGGCTAAGGGAGGCGAGTTTGGACTGCGCTGCATCACAATGATTTCCCTACATTTCCCAAACGCCGCGTCGTTCCGGCCAGCGCAAGTCTCCGGCGCCGGTCCCCGAAATTACCAACAGCCCACCGAGTTTTTCGCTAGAAAGAAGTGCGTTTCGGTCTGTTTCGCCGGTATTTCGGCGGATTCGTCTCCGACTCAGCCCGGAAAGCCCGAAATCGAGCTCGAATTCATCGGGGTACGCGCATTAATCCCATTAAATTACAGTTATTTGCCGTTTTATTTTCCATATTTATTTGGGATTTTGGGCTTGGTTGGTTAGCCGAAGCCGGGAAACGACGGGTCGTATCCGGTGGAGAGCGCGAAGGCGATAAGTGGAGAGAAGCTGCTGAGGGATGTCATGTCGGATAACAAGGTCGAGCTCTACGCCACGTATGTGAGTTTCCTATCACTTCACTCTGCATCCTGCGCACTTTAGTATTTTGTCGTTGCCCCTTCTACAGTGCGTTTTGGTGTTGGGCCTTTCTAATTGTGGCCCAATATCAGTACACCCCGACTCAAAGAAAAAACACCAAATGGTCACATGAGAACGCATAACTTTAGCGGGAAGTGATTTCTGCACTTTCTTGTTAATTTCGTTGCACTTCCTTTCAGTTTCGATATGTTGGATTGAAATTTGAACAAATCAAGGGGGTATTTTTTCTTATGGTCAAATCAAAAGAAAATTAAGAGATGGAATAAATGACGGAGTGCAAAAAGAGAAAACGAGAGTGCAGAAATCTATTCCCTAACTTAACACACTATTAAAATTCCGTGTGTCACACCCTCACATATCCAAATTAAATTTACAGTCCACGTAGTTTTACGGATCTATTACAGAATTCATAGTTTGCTTAAATATTCAATTATGGACAATCTTTTAATTACAAAATGGAAATTAACATTTTTGTCAAGAGTGCTTATGGACCGTATTAATTGAACACGTTGTTGACCACCTCTCTAATAGAAGTGGGCTTTATTCATTATTGTGGGACCCACTTGTATTACAGAAGTTGTCAGCAAATTGGCCATCAAATGTGGGTCCAAATATCAGTTTCGTTACTTCAACTTTGGAACACTATTTCAAGAATTTTCATGTCGGATTTGAGTACAATTTGGTGATTTGAGGTGAACTTACTAAGCCCCAAAGGGTTCATTTTGCTCTCCACATGTTTATCATGTGACAAGAACGTCAAGTTCGAATGCTTAATTTAGCGGATTATCATTAATTGAATTCTTAAGCAAACTACAGGAATTCAATTGCCAGAATCTTAAGTGAAAGATCCGCAAAACTACGTGCGGATTGTGAATGTAGTTTGACTCTCTCACACCATATTGGTAGAATGATAAAGTTGTGAAAAGCACAATATAAGTGATTGAATGTGTTTTGAAAGGGTGTTGCAATTTAAAATATAGGGGAAACTGATGAACTGTGGAGGTGGTGGAAGCTGTGGGACTTGTATAGTTGAGGTATGAACGTTCCACCATCTGCATTCTTCTGTCTTTTCGAGTTTCTTCGGTTGAAGGTGGAGGAAAGCTGTCAATTTTCTTTGTTTAGTAATGGAATGGCAAGTACTGAACTCAAGCATTTGTGGTTTTTGTGCAGATTATTGATGGGAAGGATCTTTTGAATGAAAGAACAAATACTGAACTCAAATATTTGAAGAAGGCAACCTCTCTCTCTCTCTCTCTATTAAAAAACACTATACTTTTTCCCATACTCACTGGTTACTAATCTCAAACCTCATTGCTTACATGTAAAGTATGTCGGTGTGTTCTTTAACGTCATATCGCTTGAATTACTTTGTTTCAGTATTCAGTTCCCATTTGAAGTACATACTTAGTAAATGTCCGGTTATTTTGACATTGTCTGAACATGCAGAAACCGGAATCTTGGAGACTTGCTTGTCAAACTATAGTGGGAAATAAGGAAAATTCTGGCAAGGTACTTGTCACTCCTCTGCTTTCTTTTTTATTTGCAAATCTCTCGCTATCGTAATCTTACTGGTTATTGTGGTGATTGGTGCACCAAAAGATCCATAATTTATTCACAACTTGTATAATCCTCGTTGAGGAGCGTGTATAAGGAGTTGGGTCGGGTCCTACATTTCCATTTGGTTTTGAAGTTTTCTTTACATGTAGTGCTTTTTCCTTTCATGTTGCTGGCGTAGAAGAAACCAACATTCTTATGTGTACCAGAGTTTTAATCTCCCGGATAACAGTAATGCTTTGTCCAACATCATGTAGTTTTGCTGCATCAAGTTTATTCCCAAACAAGGTGGGAAATGTGATGCTATTAAGGATTTAGAATGTTACTGTTTGTGTCTTGGATTCAGAAGTTAGGTCATATAGACACCAAACTCAAGTTGTATCGACTTGGAATAGGATGGCACGGCGATTCTGCACTCAAGCATTCTTTTTCTAACAGATATCTTTCGGATTTTGGATTGCTGCAGGTTGTTGTTCAGAGGATTCCCCAGTGGAAAAAGTAATCGATCGAGCAATGGCGCCATGTGACATTGATGAATATAAATACGTATAGCAAATCGAGAATTATGATGACGCTTCCTCCCTAAACTCACGGTAATCACTTCGAAATGCTTTAGAACAGATTAATATGTATATCTCTCGCGTATGTTAATTGTTGTAATACCATCTGTAGACCACTTGATGTTAAACAGGGGATAAGAGTTAATATCTTGTCTTCAAATTTCCTAGAAGTTATCCAAAGGAACCAGATAGTTCTTTGTTGTGCTGACTTTTACTCGTACGTTGCAACACGATACAACAAACCAATAACGAGGGCGATTCATGTAAGTAGAAAACTTGCTGAGACCGGGGTGGATTTGCATATTTTTCTTTCTCTATATCTCACTTCTTTTGTGACTTATCACGAGAGATAAGAGATAGAGAAAAAAGGAGGATACACCCCGTTACATGCCATGTGAGTTCTATTACATATAAATTTATGCTATTAGAAGAATCAATCAAGGTTACATGTGATCTCGTATGTTGTAACAACGTAGATCTCCGAGGATTTAAGTTAGTTTTCCCAACCTAATTTATGTCCCATGTTTTTTAACACTTTCATGCTTCACCTTGTTGGAATCCACCTGTCTCGTCAACACTATTAACCGCAGGAAATTAACAGAAATTAATCATTAAATTCCATCACATGTCATTTTATAATTAAATTCCATCACATGTCATTTTATAATTAAATTGTATGACCACTCAACACTGTCATATGAACCTAATAACGTGATATTTTTTCTAGGTGATAAGATAACAGAGACGCATGGTTTCTTTAGGTTGCGTAAAGTTGCAACATTTTGGTACCTTTAATTTGCTTTTTGCGCGTCCGGTGAGATCCAAATTCTTCGTTATTATTGCCACCTTTTGAAGTCAGTTTTGGTCTCATTATTCATTCTTCACTCAAATAAATTAATATTTTTGACAAAAAAATAAAAAAATAAATATTTTATTGGAAATTTTGAAGCACATTTATCCGATATAGATTTGGATTTGGACTTTCATGGTATGAAAAGTTGTTGGGCCCACCTTGCGGAAGAGCGTAGAGGGCCACAGGGGACCACTTAGGCTTTTAGATCTGCAAACTTTCAAATGGGCTGGTTTGGCTTTATGACAAACAATTATTATTTTTTCTTTTTCAAATATAAATAAATAAACCTTCTCTGAATATTTGATTCTTTAGCGTGAGAGTGGTTCGATTTCATTCAGTTCGATTTTTTGTTAAAACTAAAAATCAAACCGAAATTACGGTATAGTTTGGTTCGATTCTGTTGAGGGTTGACAATAAGACATTACATCCCATCTCGAACTTTCGTATATTTTGTATGACTTGTACTCATATTTGGTAACTTTTAATTAGATTTGTCAAATCTTTCATTAGATTTTGGGGAATTTGTGACTAGATTGGGGGAAATTTTCACTAAATCTTCTGGTGAGTTATTATATATGGACTGTGTCAGCTCAAAATTTAAGGACAAGTGGGATGATTGGGAGCCAATTTGATTTTAGCTTCTGATATTAATGTATCAGTTCGTCTGTAATATTAATAAACCAATTTATCATTTAAAAAAAATAACTACTAATAATTTTTTTACAATTTATAATTGTTGGTACCAAAAATCAAGCGAGCTACAATAAAAGCTCGGTGTCGAAAAAACCATTAATAATACTTTTATGGAATATATACTAACAATTTCAAAATCGATACAATGTTTTTCTTCATAGTGACACAACGAGGCTGGACGGTTTAAGCCGTAAACAGAAAAACAACTTAACCAATAAAGCTTGAACAAGTAGCTCTATCTCTATATTTTTAAGAGTAATGTTATTCATACAATGTTTTTATACCACATTTCTATACCACCTTAGGTGGCATCCGATGTGAACAACCACATCATTTGAAAAATTTGCAAAACTCAAGGAAATGAAGAAGAAAAATTCCTTATATACTACAATCATCATTTAATTAACTAGTTTTATTATTATTATTAGTTTATTAAATAATGAATTAAATTTAAAAATCTGATTAATTCAAATGATGTGACTGTCCACATCAAATGCCACTTAAGGTGGTATGAAAATGTGGTACAAAAACATGGTATGAATAACATTACTCTATTTTTAATCAGTCTCTTCTCCTATCATCTATCTAATATTATTCTTCAATGTATTTCATTACTCTCATATTTTCTGCCTTTATAATTTGAAACATGAATGTTTAACGTTTCCTTATTTTCTTTAATTTTATTAATCATTAAGGATAAAATGACAAAAACAGAAAATTGGCATAAATTAGTTTCCATAAATGGCTCAATGGAGAATCATACACATAACCTAGACTAACATAAATTGGATCCCATTTTTCCTTACAAATAAATGAGCTTAATTATCATAATTAAGCAATTAATTAGAGACATTTCCACCTGAACTTGTGGGAATAATTACAAAAACGTCTCAAACACTTTCCTTTTTCTGGTAAAATTAACAATTTGATTTGGATTGATTCGGACCTGATCACAAACACGGTGCTAAGCTGGACTTATCTCAATAAAACCTTTTTCCAATTAAGTTTTAATTGATTGATTTGTCAATGTTGAAGAGAACCCGACTGGAAATTGAATGTTTAGATTTTCATACGAAATTCATTGGACTCTTGTCGACTTCCTCCTTCACAAGGGGATATGGGATAAAATTTTTGAATGTGACACGTACTGGTGTTTTAGAATTCATATAGCTGACCTCACTTAGTAGAATAAAATTTTGTTATTGTTGTTGTTGTCAAAAACACTATTATTTACTCAAATGAAACTAACAATAAACTGTCTGGACAGTGCCATTTTGTCTTGATTAAGATCAATCATTTTGTGAAACCTCACTTTTCCATTGCTTTTTAATAGAATTGACAATACAAATGTTTGTTTGGCTATATTTTCTTGGCGATCTTTCTAAGAAGATTGTAATTTTAAAATGATTCTAGTAGTACAAAAAATTGTCAATCGTACTTATGAGGTGAAGCCCGTAACCAATTATAGTATTATAAATATATATATATATATATATATATATATATATATTATAGATGTAGTGTCACATTCCGGCTCGGACCCCCACCACAATCCGAGCTCGACTCCATCTAGTAGGTCATCCCTCCTGGGAATTGGGTAAGCTGTGCGAAGGGTTTTATTTTATAATATTACTCTCTTATGCGACGAAAAATAAAAAAAGATTTGATGCAACAATATTTCGTTCATTATATATTTGACTCGTTATGGAATTTATTTATGGGAAAATTAATTAAAAATGTTTGAAGACTTTAAGTTTTAACGATAATGACAAAATAAAGGGTAAAGTGAATAGTACTAGGATTGACTTTTTAGTGTAAAAATATAATTTTTTGTTAAAATGAACAATACCGAGAATTTTTTGTTAAAGTTCCATTTATTTATTGCAAAATAAAATATTTCAATATTCATTGGTAACTAAAATTTGGTGTAATAAATCATCGAGAGTCAAAATTTCAAATTAGACGTCATTTTATTTTTATTTTTTTGAAGAAATTTTTTTGGAGATTTGAACATTTGAATAGTAACCATTGAATTCCAATCCAACAACTTATGGGCATGTGAGGTCCCCAAAAATACACTAGGGTAGCTAGGGTTCCTTCAATTCAAAGTCCGACTGGAAGTTGGGGATGGCAGGCTTTTGCCCCTTATCTTGGCACCTAGCATAGTAGCACACACTACCTTACAGGTGATTGGGACCATTCCAACCCTTTTCAAACATAAGAATCAAGATTCTATCTGAATCTCTCGTTTGAAGTTTTACCGTCTTCATAAGTTATTACATTAACTCATTTCATATAAGTTACAGTTCAAATTTCTCTTTCTTTATTGAACATTTTGAATTACTTGATCCGTCAACTCAGATTGAGAGAACCAAAAGAATCTGAATTTCATATGTAGGACACGTTTTTAGAGGTCAGCGTGCCCTTGCATTGTTGCATGTAGTAGGGTCAATGTTATTTAATATAACTTGGATCAATGTTTATTATTTTATGAACACTCAATTCAAATTGGTTCGAAGTTATTCAATATAGTAAAGCATAATAAATACATTAACTAATTTCAGATCATATTTTAATACTCCTTATTTAAATATTACAAATCCATAGATAAAAAACAAAGACTATAACATAGTAGAAAAAAGACTTCACAAACAACTTTTGGTAATGTTCTTTGTGCTTGTAATGCCACGTGAATCGTGATACTCGTTTTATTTATAAAAGAGGTGCTTAGAAGATTATTATCGTTAAATAGAGTATAACTTGTTTGGATACTCAATACTCTTATGTCTAATGTAAACATGTTAACTCTTTACCTTATGTATACATCTTCGTTAATAAAACTCATCAATATAAGGTTAATATTTCGGTAATAATTTTTTGTGCTTACACGTGAACGTTTATGTCTAAAATTAGAGTGAAAAATACTTCGTCTTACATTTATATTTAGACCATTATGAGTCTGATTGACAACGTATAAACATAACATACCATATATTAAAAAAGACCCAAAATTCATAACACAAATCCAATGAATGTCATTGCCAATATCGTGTGAAAAGGAAATAGCAAGAAGTCAAAATAAAAAAATAAAATAAAATCATAAAATATTGTTGCTTTTTGGCTTCCGTTTGGAATTTTGGAAGTTCAAACTATAAACCCCGTCCCGCTCACGCTCCCCACCCCCTCCCCCTTTATATCAACTCTCTCTCTCTCTCTCTCTCTCTCTCTCTCCCCCTCTCTCTCTCCACTGTCACTTCTACACAATTCCTTGTCCGAAGCTGAGCCTCCGGACCCCTCCTTGTTCGTCCGAGCTCTTCCGGCAGTGGCCGTCGTCGGAACTTCCGCCAACAGAGTAAGCTCAGCTCCCACACTCTTTTTTCACTCCCACACTGCGTGAAGGGAGAATTTTTAATGCATTCTACATGTTCGAGCCTCGTCGCTCTGTTATCCACTGCCAGATTCTCATGAAACCACGTCGTTTTACGCCTCGCTGGTTCGCTACATGGATCTGGCGCTGGAGTCTTTTATTTTTTTCCTTCGATTTTTTACGTTTTTAACGTAAGAAATTTGGTGCATTTTGTATGAAATGCCTTTGCGATTTTGTTTGTTTTGTGGTTTTTGACGATCGGATGGGGATGGGAGGTGGGAATTTTGAAGAAATTAGGGTTTTTGGGGCTGGGTTTTGCGGTGTTTTCGGCCTCTTCCTTTTTCGGTAAAGTAGTAATTTTTGTTTTAATTTTCTGTTTGGTTGCTGGGAAAATGTGTCGGAGGAATAGAAGATTGCTAAACATTTGTCTTTCATGCATTCTGGACCTGACAAAAAAAAAAAAACCTTTCTCACATAACTTAATTAAAAACAGCCAATGGCTGACTAGTTAGAAATCAGAAAAAAAAAAATGCTTTTCTTTTGCTTCCCATTTTCTCAAATTTTTAGTTTACAAAATAATAAGTGTAATAGCAAAGCTAGAAAATTGTTTTGGTGGTTATTGTATGGGAACCCTTCTGAGATATCTTCATGTTAATCCCCTGTTTTGCTTTCACATTGCAAGTTATTGTGTGTTATGTCAAAGGAAAACAGAGTAAAAGACCATAAAGTTTTCTTCTTCAATTGAAAAATGATTAGATTTATCCTTCTGTTGTGTCAAAGGGAATTGAATTTCCGTAGATGACCATAAAGGGCATCTCTTTTTGGATCCCTTCGTAGTTTGCGTGGAACACTATCTCGGGTTGATTTGTTAGGCTTGTTTGTGTTGAGTTGCACAGTACCACTTGTTGACATCAACTGATTTGAAAATGCAGGTTCAATGAACAAGGATTCGGACTGAATTCATTTGTTGGTCTTCTACAAGGCAGGTAAATATGAATAAGGAAAATGAAAATGCTGCCAAAGTTGAAGAGCCTAATGTCCGAATCACAAGAGCACGGGCTAAAGCATTTGGCGCATCCGGGGAGGAGCTCTCCTCCTCGATACTTTTCACTAAAGAAAATCAGAAGCGTGGTCTTCGAGCGAATTCCAAAAGAGCAGCATCAGATGAGAACAAAGCATCTGCAATTGCTACTGTTGGCTTGCAGCATAAAAGAAGGGCAGTGCTTAAAGATGTAGGAAACATCGCCTGTGAGGATTCAAATGTTAACTGCACTAATGCATCTCAGATTCAGGTATTATTTGAATGTTCCGGTTTCTAACCCTACGTGCAAAAGTTCTGAATTGTCAATGAATATAATGTTTATCAAGAAATCTCACATGATTTCGAATTAATTAACTGCATTGTTGCCTCTGTACTTTCTAAGTAATTCTAATTTAAAATTTGTTGGTACTGACAGACTAACAAGCAGGTACAGACTAACAAGCAGGCTAAAAGAGGACTTGGAAAGAATGTTAAGGTGGCCTCAAATATCTCTGAAGCAATTCCAATGGTTCAAGATGACGCAAAAGCAAAGTTAGCTGAGGAATTATCCAAAATAAGGGTGGCAGAACCCTTAGAACCCACTCTGCCAAAAGTGCCAGTACCCCAGGGTATATGTCGTACCTTGGGACAGCATAGAGGAGCAGATCTGATGCCTACAATACAGGCTCCTTCAGAATCGGCTGAACTTTGTAACCCCAAAAAGAAAGGTATAGTTTTATGTTTCATTTTGTTCAGGAGAGTGCAACATTATATGACTTATCTTCTTGAACTGGCTAATTTTCTGTGCTGTGCCTATACTTGGTTAGAGTGATGCTTGCAATGTCTAAGATGACAAGTTGAAATCATTCTTTTTGCTCTGAGCCTTCCGACTGTAATGTAGAAATTTTGATTGATTAATAAATGAGGATACTTGATTGACTTTTAACGGAAAGTGAAAAGTTAATTACTGGCTTGTGTTTTCATGTTCATATTAGCAATGCGTAATGATTTTTTTTTTATTGGACTGTGTAGAAGGAAATATGGCCTGGGAGATAGTGGGGTCCTCAAATGACCCAGACATTGTGAATATTGACTCAAACTTAAAGGATCCTCTGGCGTGCAGCCTGTACGCCCCTGATATTTACAGTAATATATGCCTTGCAGAGGTTAGTGTTTGAGCCATGACATTATCAATTTTAATAAGATTATTGCAATATTTAGTATTCGCTTGTGTCGACAGGACATAGAAATTAAAAGTCTCCTTTGTAATTTTAAACATGAAATAGTTTCTGATTTCTGTGATGAATTTATTCAATTGTGGTGGAGCTTGGTAAATGAAAGTGCTATCTGGACTTGGTAAAATAACATCAGGAGCATTATTGATTCTGACTTGTAGAGGAAATTTATTCTTCCTCAGGTAGCGCGAAGACCATCAACTGATTATATGGAAAGATTGCAGCGAGATATTACTCCCAGCATGCGAGGAATTTTGGTTGATTGGCTAGTGGAGGTCAGTATCATCGGATGTAGTTATCCAAATGGCTCTAATATTCTGACGTTATGGTGTGCCTTTGCTTGAAAGCATCCATGCTAATGTCTTCTTAAATGGGATACTGAAAAACCTGGATATCAGTCCCAATCCCAAAGAATAAAGTCCAACTTTTCTTCTTTTACAGAGTATGAGCCATTTTTGTGCCATATAAAATGGATGCTTTAGTGATAATATCTTATGTCTCTTTCAGGTTTCTGAAGAATATAAGCTGGTTCCAGACACACTTTACCTTACAGTAAATCTCATTGATCGGTTTCTCTCTCACAATTATGTTGAAAAGCAAAAACTCCAGCTGCTTGGAGTCACTTGCATGTTAATTGCCTCGTAAGTGCTATATTAGGTGTATAGATGGTGGTTTCTAGTGTACCATAGTTTATCTATTAATAAGAAAAACCCTTATGGATGTTTACTCGGGCTATTTGATGGACTCATCTTTGGTAGACATGGACAAACATTTTTACATATGTGTGTGGTATGTGCATTGGCATATGAGTGTAGATGAGGAAACAATGACAATATTCCTCTCTTGATTATTTTATCATTACATTACTTGAGGTGTATATATTTTTTGTTATGGCTCAAAGGAAGTATGAAGAAATTTGTGCACCGCGAGTGGAAGAATTTTGCTTCATCACTGACAATACTTACTCAAGAGAGGAGGTATGTTCTTAGCTCCATAGACTTTGCCTATTTTAGACTCATAAAACTTTTATTTGTTTCCGTAGCATAATTCGAAAGCAAAAACTTGGTCTTTCGTTCACATGGCAATGCCCTTACGTTTTTCCTCTTTTCCATTGGTATAACTAGTTACGTACTGATACAAAAACTTCCTGATTAAATCTTGCAGGTATTAAAAATGGAGATTCAAGTTCTAAATTTCTCGCACTTCCAGTTATCTGTTCCCACCACAAAAACATTTCTTAGGAGATTCATTCATGCAGCTCAAGCTTCTTATAAGGTATTCTAAATTAAATGTCGTCCGCACTTTGGCTTCTGAAAAATCAATTACCATACAAGAACACAGTTCTATTTCAATTACTTTGTTATGCAGGTTCCTTGTCTTGAACTGGAGTTATTGGCAAATTATTTAGCAGAGTTGACTCTTGTTGAATACAGCTTCCTGAAGTTCCTACCTTCCCTCATAGCCGCCTCTGCTGTTTTCCTTGCCAGATGGACGCTCAATCAGTCAGACCATCCATGGGTCTGCAATTCTGTGCCTCTCTTTTAATTGAGGTTTTTACTTTTGTTCTCATTGAAAATTATCTGAAGAAATGTCATTTTTATGTCTTGCAGAACCCTACTTTAGAGCACTACACCTCGTACAAAACATCACATCTCAAAACTACAGTAGTTGCACTGGAAGATTTGCAATTGAACACCACCGGTTGTCCTCTAAACTCTATTCGCGAGAAGTATAAACATCAGAAGGTAATATGACTATGAGTTTGTTTTCTGATTGATCATATTTGTCGGAAGACAATTCTTAGAAACAGCACTTCAGTGTTCAAAGTCATGTCTATTTACAGATCGTTTAGATTCAGTATTCTGATTCAAATTCTTGTCTTGACAGTTCAAGTCCGTGGCTACATTGACCTCCAAACAACGGGTGGTTCACTCTTTCGAAGATCAAGAATTCGCTGACTCTTCTATAAGAGCTGAACCGGGATGGATGTTTATCAGCTAGAAAAAGCTCCCTGCATTCAGGGACTTCGAGTTTGAGAGACATCCAGATCTCCGACATGAAAGTTCCTTAACCTTCCATCTAACTTTGTTGTCTGTCTGTCCGTCCCGCCATTCATTGCTAAATGTTATCTCGTTCTGGTGCTTCCAGATCTGTCGTTGTAGCCTCAAATTTTTCTAGATTAAGACACCGTTAGGACAAACAATTATGTATTTGGGTCTTGGCAAAATAATGTACCAAAACTTCTCATCGCATGGGGGAAGTTTTAAGAGCGACTGTGCCTTGGGTTGCAAGTTTCAAACATGAAATGTAGCTCCTTGATTGTTTGTATCTAAAAACTTCATATATGAAAAAGAAAAATGTTGAAAAATAGTTATCAGTCGTTCTGTTGTGATATGTGAGTTTTTGGGTGGTCGGATCTTTTTATGGTGAAACACCTATTATATGCTTTTTCAAGAAGTACTTTCAAGGAAGCACTTGAATTTTAAATAAAGTTTCACATATTTCTAACGAAATTGCTTTTAACAAAAATACTTACGAGCATAAGTGTTTTTCACAAAAGTAATCTCAAACAAGTCATATAATCCAACAACTTTTCATACAAACCAACTACTCAGTGTTGAAAACCCTTGTGTTATGAGCCTTTAACCTAATGCAATTGCAATGGACACATCAACGGTGTCCCTCATCTAGAAGAAAACTTTCAAGCATCCGTTACATAAAATAGGTGTCTCACATTCAAAATCATGCATGAATAACAAAATATAACAAATGCAACCCATGTTTCATGCAACGGGTGCATGAAAGTTTTTCTCGTTGCAAATTTATTATTTTTTTCAAACGACATGCCAACCAACAGGAGATCCCATCATGGTTATGATGTGACAACCTTACCTAGTTCCCTCTTTTATTTTTCATATATCTGATCTTGCCCATACTTTTTGTTGGTGGAATCATATTTACCCATAATATTATTCCCTTTCATCATACCAGGCAGCATATAGGGATCCATTAAATCATGAAGATCTAAATAATTAAAACTGAAAACTGCCTGCTATAATTTGCTATAATTTGGCATTGACAAAAACATTGATCTATAAATTAGTTTTGATAAAGACATAGCTGAAGCTGAACAACAGGAGAACGACTTGCATGGACGGGAACGTCACTAGGGCAGTAAACCCGTTACATGCGAGTTGTTCTCGAACGTCAAAGGTTACAGAGGGCTAAAAAGGAATTAGCCAATTAAGCTAGTAGCAGAAGTACAGAAAATTGTGGGAAGGTCCTTCCCAAGAAACACCTTTCGGGGGAAGCAAAAGACAAGGTTACAACCAGTGGCTGTCAAAGGACCATTACAAAAATACAATCCCACCCCTGAAACTATAGCCATTTTCCATACATTTCTCTTAATCTCGTCACTCCCAACCACCGTAAAAAGAGAGGAAATACGGGAAAACATCGGTTGCAATAGCATCAGTTCGGAAGTTAATTTTTAACAGGCGATTGAGGTCGCTATAGGCATTACCAGAACTGCAGTGTTTCCGGTTACCGGCTGGAGACTAGCTGCATTCTCTAACTGTTCCCATGCTTCCTTTCGCTTCTTGGCAGTCGAGCCTTGCTTTGCTTCTTCCTCCATGTAGTGCGCGTGGCTGGAGATGAATAGCTGATCATCCATCTCGACAAACATCTTTCGGACATTTAAAGTTAAATTAAGAACTGCTTGGTTCCAGTGGTTCTGGGAGTTCCTCTCCAAGGCTGGTAAAATGATGGGCAGAATCACTTGACGGTTATCTGTGATTAAGTTCACAATGTTGTCATTGTTCCAAAAGAAAAGGGCCCTTTCAGCTACCTGAAACATTTTAAGATAAGTTTCAAATTCTTTTCCGAAGAGTGAACTTACACAAGCATTCATGCAATCCACGACAAACACTAGAAGCAATCATCGAATTCCACTTTATGCATTCCTAAAACTTCTAGGTCCAAAATATACTTCAAAATAAACATGATACAGGGCAAAGTGAAGAATAAACACAATACTTATTAAACGGGAAACCAAACTCGAAGGGAAAATTACCTGGAAGTGGGAACTGTTAATGCAGCATGCAATCCGGCAGAACAAAGGGGCCATGATCTTTTGAAATTCCACCATGTTAACCGATTCCAAAATCTCTTCTAACTCACCCAAGAACATCACCTCTTTCTGACTACCTGTTATCGGCCAGTATTTCAACAAACCCTTTATAACAACACTAGCCAACTTCGGCTCCTTCTCTATAAACTGCGTGACGCAATAGGACAACTGTTGGAAGTAAGACCCTAGATTCTTCGGCTTATGAAGAGGAATCAAAACCCTCCACAAGAATACCCTGTGCTCCTCTTTCAACGGCAACGCAAACCCACTAATAATACTCCCAAATATCTCCAGCAACTCAGCAATCCCATTATGTCTGTCAGTCTCAAACAAAAACCGATAAAATATATTGTTGATAGCCTTGCGAATAAACGGCCTATGAACCATGAACTTGCCATAAATCCTATGCAGAATGGTCTTCAAACAATCTCTCTCCCTAGGGTCATCGGAATCAAACAACTCAAGCAACCTCAAAATAAACGAATGGTCTACATACTTCTTCGCAACCTTCGCGTCAAGACACGAAGATGTCACGAATTTAAGCAGCAATTCATACACAATCTGCAAATGCGGCCAGGCGGGGTCGAACATGGGCTCATCATCATCGTTCTCACCCGCCCCGCCGTTGGAATGGGACCGGTAATTTGGCGGGAAAACTCTAAACAGATTAATGGCACACATTCTACAGGTTGCTAAAATGGCTGGCTCGCTGAATCTCATCGACCCAGTTGCTACAAAGTCTACAAGTTCAAGCAATGTCTGCCTCTTAACATCTTTCTCTATCGAATTCTTAGATGGGTCTGTGAAATCAAACGTTACACAGCAAAGGCTCACCTTGCTGACGAAGAGGTTCATCTTCTCTGGCGTCGGCACGTCCTTGAACGGCACCAAAGGCTCGATTCCGGCCACCACGCTCGCCGGAAACACCGCGGACGACATGCGTTTCGGTGCGTTCGCTTTACCTGGGCCCGAACTATTTCCGCCGTTGGATCGAGGGGTGCCACCGCCCAGGCCCGACGGCCCAGTCCGACTCCCGGACCGGGTCGTGTTTGTCCGCGGCGACTCGGGCCGCTCGTCGGATTTCAAGGCCTTCCGCGGCAGTTTACTGAGGAATTGCTTGAGCATTGTGAAAATTTATCAAAATATCAATCAAAGACAGGGACTTCAGATCAAACCCATATGAAATTAGGGAAGAACAAACCCTTAATTTATCTCTCTCTCATAAATCTGAGCTCGAATTGGGGTAAAACAGAGACCATGTCTGAAATTTCTTGAGGGAAATGTTTGAAATTGAGGAGGGCATTGATTAAAAATCAAATCTTGGCAATGTGGGTCCCCGGATTCTGATTCCAAAACCCAACACCAGCAAGAACAGCAACAATGCAAAACTCTGAGAGGATTCAAATTACATTTGCAACCTCACCAATCAAACATGAAACCTCCCAATAACTGTGGAGACAGAGAGGAGGAAATGTAAACGCAAATGTACATGAAAAATGGGGGCAAAGTTTCAGATTGTTGAAGGTTTGAATCTGAAAATTTGGAAGAACGATTTGAACTTTGAAATAAAAAGGAACACCCTTTTATTTTTGTTGCAAAAAATGAAGAAAAAGGAAAGAGACTCTTTGGGTTTCTTATTTTGTGATTATGGGATGCAGAATTGTCGATTATTGTTTGTGATCTCCATGAAAGAGAAATGGACCCATCTCTGGGTTTTTACTTTTTTTTTTTTCTTTCTTTTCTCTCGGTAATTTTATTTTATTATTTTATCTTTTTTGTTTGATAAGAGAGAAAATTATGGCATTTTCTCGGGAAATGCGGGGTGTTCTCTTCAGGACAGTAAGTTAACGAAGTGAAATTACTAGTAATTGGTAAAAAGTAACAGGTAAAAATAGTTTTTTATTTTAAAAATGGTGGGTGAAAAACAGGGATTTTGGCGTGTAGTGTGAGCTGGATTAGGGGATTGATAAAGTGGTAACACGAATACGACGTGATTTGGTTAGTTTCTTTGTTCTGTTTTTTTGACAGGCAGATAGAGGTGGATTTGTGGGACAGGGATCCCAGCCGGATCTCTCTCGTCAAGTTCTACAAATCTGAAAATTCAGACTTTTAAAATTTGATCCAATAATTATAATTATTATCACTTTTAGACAGGCTCTTCTGTTTGTAACCGTTGGATCAAATTTCAATGGTCTGAATCTCCGAATCCCTAGGATTTGGTGGGGTGACATCCGGCTGAGATCTTTGTTTGGCTTTGTGAATCACGATGTTTTGGGAATTATCTTTCTCTTAAAAAATGGTTTTCGAAATATATCTAAAAAAAATATTGAAGAATGCTTGAAAACTTTGAGTTTTAACGATTAATTTTTTAGTACCAGAATTAATTTTTTAGTGTAAAAATATGATTTTTTGTTAAAGTAAACAGTACCAGAAGTTTTTTTATTAAAGTTTCCTAAAAAAATAGTAATATATTTTGCGAATATAAATAAGATTGAGACAATTTTTAATATCCCCGTTGTAATATACTAGAGGAGATTGCGACGTGGCATACTGTTTTTAAGAGCAAACTTTTTTAGATAAGTCACAGTCACGTATTGTTATCATCTGAGTTTAAGTAAAACCAAGGCAAAACAACGGTGGACTATTGTTTAAGTGCAATTTTGATGGAGCATGGGGAGAAAGATCAAAGAGGGGAGGTTATGGTGTGGTAGTGAACGATTGTTCAGGCAGCTTTATTGCTGCACTTTCTGGGCATTTTTGCCATGTAGTAGTTCACCACTACATGCTGAGATGCTTGCGGCTCGAAGAGCAGTGGAATTTATAAATGGCTTTCATAGATTTAGTTCGAATACGGTGTTGGAGGGAGATTTGAGGGTGGTGATTGCGGCGGTGAGTCGTTCTGAGGATGACTGTTCTTTCTTGGGACCTATAATTAATGACCTCAGAGGACACAATGCTAAATTTTGCGCATCAGAAGCTAACAACGTCGCATATAGGATGGCTCGTGCTGGTTTGGCAGTTTCGAGCGGAGTAACATGGGAAGGAGAACCCCCAGATTTGATTTTAGATGCTCTGTTAGAAGATATGTGTTGAAGATAGTTATTTGTGCACGACTCTTTTTTCCTTCAACTTGGTTGAAATTCCTACCAAGTTTTTTATCCAAACCTATACAAGCACCATATCCTCTTTTAGTACATTTTATTTGTATTAATAAATATCGTACTTTCTTTAATAAAAAAATAATAACAATAAATTTAAAAAAAATAGCTTTGGTAGGATCATCATAGTATTACACAGTTTAATTAGTTTGTTCATATTTACTATGTATGTTTATTTATTAATAGTAATTCATAAGTTCACGAAGTATTAATGATATTGCCAATTATATTATAAGCAGTGGATTAATAACAAACTATCTCAATGTGATTATGATACTAAAAAATTTAGGTTTATTACACAAAATAACAGTATAACGATCATTCTAAAATTTATCGCTTTTATAATCACGTGAAAAATCTTCACTTCAGTTTTTATTTGTTGGTTGAAGAATGCCTAAGTTTCATGTAAAGAATGTTACGCAAACAACATGTTTGCTTACTTGAAATTAAAATGTTAAGAATGGGGTCAACAATTCTCTCCGTAATAAACATAATTCATAGTATTTCAGTTATTTTGGTATTAGGTTCAATTCTCGCTAAAAGTGAAGTTGAACCGCATTATTACTAGAAAAAAAATAAAATAATAACCCACCCAGTATTTATAGATGTCATAAAATGTTAGCATAGACTCTTCAAGATTATATTCGGGTGAAATACTTCTAAGTTCCGAGGCATTTAGGCTAACCAGGATCAGAAGAATTATAAAAGGGGACTTGTAGTCCATTCATTTTTAGCTTGACATCAATCAAATGAAACTTAAAAGTTCTATCATCCAAACATAGCCTAAAATATGTTTAAACCATGTTTGGATGAAGGACTTATAGTTCTCGAGGAATTGAAGCCAAGTTAGTAGGAGGAATTGATCGTGAAATGTTAGATGAGATTAAAAATGCATTTCATGCGTATTACAAAGACATGTGAAGGAGATTTACAAATAGGAATTAGTCACTTACAAATTCCTCTACATGCCCTTGTAATGATTATGTAGTGTATTTTATTCCCTTTTTGTAGTCGATTTCTTCCTCACTTAGGTCAGTATGTGATTGTTTGCTTTTTGAAAAAAAAAAATGGTTCTATTGTGTTTTAAGAATAATCAAATGTAAAATAAAATAGTTGAGCATTGATAAACTGAAATTTTAAATTGTTGTGAGTATGAAAAGCATCGTAAAAGTGTTCAATAGATTTAATGTAAAAATAATATAATTGTATACAATGAAAAAAAAAAAGGACATAATAATCAGGGTAGTGGTAACAACAATGGTGAAGGGGGCAGTGGCGGTGATGGCTCCAACAGTTGTGGGCGTATGGGGTTGGTGCCAATAACAGGGTGTACTGGTTGGGGTGCAGACGGTGGTGGTGCTTGTGGTTGTAGTGGTGGTGGGGGCGACGGCAGATTATGGATGCGGTGATGACAACTTTGGTGGTGGTGACTGTTGCGCTACCAGTGGTGACAGTTGTGATGATAGTGATGGCGGTTGGGATTGTGGTGGTGGCAATAACGGTTGTAATTCTGGTGACGATTGTAACAGCGACAGTGACGATAACAATGATGGTGGTAATTACAATAGTGATGTAAAGGTAATAGTTGTAGGAAGGTGATTGCAGTCAATTTATTCTTTGATGGAAAGAATGTGTGTCGTAGAATGACACATTTAGCTTAAAATGAAAATAATTTTTTTAGGACAGAAAGTCGTTCTATCGGATAATTAGTCCTTTTTAGTCGCTCCGAGTCGAAAAATATAACTTATGTAATTGATGACTAATGCATTTATTTGTTTCAGGCCTAGGCCCATTGACTTTGGGACTAACTGGGAATGGGTTTCTTGGACGGCAACCTGGCGAATCTAACACTTTGGCACAGAACATAGAATCCACACTTGGGGAAAAGCTTTATACATGCATATACTACCGCGTGAATATGCCATGTCCTGGCCCTCCCAACTTGGCCAAGTAGTACGCAATTTTGGTCTTTGCATCTTGGTTCTTTCCAAAAGCTTTAAGGGTGAGTTTGTTGAATCGGACTAATTCGGACTGGATTAATTTTAGGGATTAAACTGGATTGGCTTAGACTGGACTGACTTAATGAAGCGTTTGGTGTAGTGTCAGACTAGAAAACTGGACTAACAATAAATTATTATTATTATTATATTTTAATTTATTTCCTATTAAAAATATCAACATTAATATGAAAAAATGGGGCATCTTCTTCGCAAATTGTTGGTGCTCCTCTGCACACAGAATTTTCATTCACATAATCGAATAATCATTCAATGATCATAACTAACTGGCATCCCAGAAAACACAAATCCAAGCCTACATTCACAAACCAAATGCAACCAATTCACATAATCCATCAAATATTCTGAAATTTAAAGAATAGAACAAATAAGGTAAAAAAAATAAATAAATAAAAAAAAAAGAGCAAAAAGGAGATGAAGAACGCAAAGCACCCAACCCAGAACCCAATCAACTTCTGCAAACCCTCCATAGTCGTAATCCTTCGTAAGGAAAATTAAATCCCAGAAAAATCAAATCCTTCAAGCTCACTTGTATATGCAGGACCAAAAATTCGATTTGAAAACCTTAAATCGCCGGAGTTCTGTCGAATTGGAAACGGAGCTCGTCGATTCTCCGATTGAAGATCGAATTTGAGGTCCCATTCGTGATTGTGGGTTGGGGCGATGAGAGAGAGATTGGTGGTGGTTTGGACTGGTGGTGTGATCTTGGCTGTGTTTAGCGATTGAAAGATGTGTAGAACTTCTAACGAATTTGGTTTTGCAATTCGAGTCTGGGATTTGCGATGGAATTTGGGTTTCGCGATTTGAATGTGGGTTGCAATTCAGCGAATATGGCCTCTATCTACTGGCTTTCGGGTCTGGGTTTTATGATTCGAATCGAAGTGAATCAAACAACGGCGAGAGCAGGGAGAGAATGCGACAGGTAGGGTTATGAAAGATTCAAAACAAGAAGACGATGTGATTCTGGGTTGGCGAGTGTTGACGATGTTCGCAATACAAGCAGACGAAGCGAGCAAAGAGAGGAAATGGAGGATGACAAGGAGAGAGAACGTGAGAAGATAAAGACATAGTGAAGGTCTTAGCAGTCCTATGGTTATTGAGGGGTCTCATTAAGACCTCTTAGTGAAGGGTTTTGTCCATGCGAGTCCCCTTTAGTCTCATTAATGTTAATCCCAGCATGGAACAAACACGGTATTGGACTAATAGCTAGTCCAGTCCCACTTAGTGAGGGCAAACAAACGCCCCGTAAGTGTGTTAGATAGTAAATTGCTACTGAATAATCCAATGACTAAGGGGGGTGTAGTCAAACTCGGATTTGAGAGGATTTTAAAAGACTTTAAAATCCTAGTGTAGTCAATTAAAAGATTTAAAAGGATTTTAGAATCCATTCAAATCTAGCTGTAATCAATTAAAAAATTTTAAAATCTATAATCTAAGTGTATTAAAAAAATTAAGATTTTGGAGATTTCAATAAGTTGTGGATTTTGTGGGATTTGAGAGCAAACAATATATATAATAAAGACTAAAAGGAATCCAACCTCACCCGCTAGGGTTTCAA